AGCCATCATTGATTCTTAAACAGGGTTATATATTGCTGTTAGATAAAGTACAAAAATACTAGATTTGTGGGAATTTAAAACCTTTTATTAGGAAAGTTTTCAGATTAACTTACAGAAAAATAGGCTAGTGCGATGATCCTCCCCCATACCCATCTCCTAGATTTAATGATTAGTTTTAATTGTTACTAACCTAGGGTACCCATCCCCCTTCTTTTCCATGCTGTTTACATGTTAAGAAATCAAGTCTTGGGTCTTAGAGACTAACCCACCTTTTAGATTTGTGTGTTTCTTCTGAACTACAATTCATTTATGCTAGAAGTGAGATCCAAAACCTCAGTTGGATTCAGTTAAACATTTTTGGTGAGAATCTTCTTAGTGATTCTCTGGACATAAGAGACACCTGATGATCTGTGAGTGTGCTATTTTGGCAGCCTTTGAATTTCTGGTTTCTTCTCAACTTCTAAGGTTTCCTGAATCAGTTATTTGATTAGGTTTGACAGTGTGAGTCTTCTAATTCTGTTGTACATTCTGCTTTAATCATTTATGAGGAATAATTTTTCTTTGTCAGCAGAGCTCTTGCTTACTGTTTTAAAGAGGTCTTAGTTGGAGATTATTTTTCTTATAATTGTCAAAAGAATTACATATTACAATTATATTGTAAATTATATTGTAAATTAAAAATTTACAGAAAATTATATTGTAAAAATTGAGTTTTAGGAGGCTTTTTTTTTTCCAGACAGTCTCAGTATGTCGCCCTCAGCCCTCAGTAGTGTGTGGTGGCATCACAGCTCACAGCAACCTCCAACTCTTGGACTTAAGCGATTCTCTTACCTCAGCCTCCCAAGTAGCTGGGACTACAGGCACCTGCCACAACACCTGGCTATTTTGTTGTTTTTGTTTTTGTTGTTTAGCAGGCCCAGGCCAGGCTCAAACTTGCCAGCCTCGGTGTATGTGGCTGCACCCTACTTAACTGAGCTATGGGTGCCAAGCCTCGAGGGCCTTTTTTGAGCTAAATTGATTAGAGCTATACCTTGCTACCAAATTCTAATATCAGCATTAACATAAAATTTTCTTTTCTTCTTCTTTTTTTTTTTAAGAGACAATCTCACTTTGTCACCCTCAGTAAAGTGCTGTTGCATCACCGCTCACAGCAACTTCCAGCTCTTGCACTTAGGTGATTCTCTTTTCTCAGCCTCCCAAGTAATAGGGACTATAGGCACCTGTCACAATGCTGGGCTGTTTTTTGGGTGCAGTTTGGCTGGGGCCGGGTTTGAACCCGCCATCCTCAGTATATGAGGCCAGTGCCCTATTCACTGAGCCATAGGCACTGCCCTCTTTTTTTTTATACAGGGTCTCACTGTGTCACCCTTGTTAGAGTGCCACAGCTCACAGCAACCTCTAATTCTTGGGCTTAAGTGATTCTCTTGCCTCACCCTCCCAAGTAGCTGGTACTACAGTTTATAAAGTCCGGTTATTTTTTTGTTGTGGTTGTCATCATTTGTAGGCCCACGCTGGGTTTGAACCTGCTAGCTCCCGTGTATGTGGCTGGAGCCCTAGCTGCTGAGCTATAGGCACTGAGCCTAACATAAAATTTTCTACTTTTGCTTGCCAACCTAAAAATTCCAGTTGCCTCTGGCAACCTATTGACCAGAATTTTAGACTTCTGATGACATAAATGTTTCATGATATAATAATTTCTGATGTCTGATGTGTTAAAATTAAAGAGCTTTCACTCTAAATTTTAAACTATGTTTAATTTATTAAAGGTAAAAAATCACATATATTTTAAAAGAAAGGATGTGGGATCAAGGAGGACAGCCTTGGCAACAGTGGCCCTTGAACCAACAACAATGGATGCAGTCATTCCAGCACCAACAAGATCCAAGTAAGGAAACATTGAATTTGGAAGGGGGTGGGGTAGGCATATGGAGATTGGTAGGATGTAGGTGATGAGGTTAAGGGAGATGTCATTAGAATTGGCTTGTTGGATCATTTTATGGTCAGAATGTAATCTCTCACATAAGTTGCCTTTCCATAGCATGTATAGCAGAAAATGGATTTCTCCTTTGTAGACTTCCTCAGAAGGTAGAAAGCTTTGTGAAGATTTTCCTTTTTTAAACTGATTTAGGCCTTGATTTGCTCAAGAAAAGTCTAAAATGTGTTCCTTAAGTAGAACTTCTGTTAATTCTGAATCTTATAATTCTATCTAGATCATATTCAACAATATGGTGTGGTATTGTATAATTTAAAATTTCTTTTTACTGTGGAATATTTTATGCACATACACAAAGGTAAAAGGAAGAGTATTGGGAGCCTCCATTTATTACTTAGCTTTAATCATTATTTTATTTATTTATTTATTTTGCCATTTTTGGCCAGGGCTGGGTTTAAACCCTGCCACCTCCAGCATATGGGACCAGCGCCCTACCCTTTTGAGCCACAGGCGCTGCCCTGCTTCGATCATTATTAATAGTGGCCAGTTTTGTTTCGCCCATTTGACCCTTTCTTTACATTGTTCTGCCCTTATTGGGTTAATATGATACTCTTTCCTTTCTTTCCATTCCTTTCGTCTCTCTTTCTTTTTTTTTTTTTTTTTAGACAGAGTCTCACTGTGTCAACTGCTCACAGCAACCTCAGAGTCTTGGGCTCAAGCAATTCTCTTGTCTCAGCCTCCCAGGTAGCTGGGACTACAAGTGCCTGCCATAACACCCAGCTGTTTTTGGTTGTAGTTGTTATTTAGCAGGCTTGGGTTGGGTTCACACCCGCTGGCACCCTAACCACTGAGCAATGGGTGCCAAGCCTTTCTTTCTGTTTGATAGCCATGTAGTATTCTGTTACAGGACTATACTATGATTTAATAAATTCACTCTTGGATATTTTGTTGTTTATACCCTTTTACTTTTTGAAACAACAAACATAATCTCATATACTGTCTTTATTCACTGATCCAATTATTTCTTAGGAAAAGAGCTAGGTTTGTTAGGTCATAGTTGCACATTTAAAAAATTAGGTACACATTGCTGAGTTTAACCCTACATGTACTATGCTGATTTTGTTTCAAACCAAGATGTATAAAAATGTCTCTTTAATCTTTATGGAAAACTATCTTATTCTACTTTTTGTTTAATTAATAAATATTAGATCTTAAAATGTTAGATATTTGGGAAAGAAAAAGGGACAGTATTCAGGGTAGTGGGGACAGTGAATTTAAGTAAAGACTGGGTAGGAAGTTGTTAAAGAGAGGTGTTTTGCTGAAGAAGGGAGCCTTAGTTAAAAGAAGTACAGCTGTGAGCAGAAGTGGGCTAGAAAGCCATGCTCATCTGTGGTCTGTAGGCTGGAATATAGGCTTGGAAAGATGAATAAGACAAACTAAAGTTTTTTTCTTTTTGCTACTCTGAAAAAAACCAGGTGATGATAACTTTTTTAAAACTCAGTAAACTGGGTGGTGCCTGTGGCTCAAAGGAGTGGGGCACAAGCCCCATATACCGAAGATGGTGGGTTGAAACTCAGTCCTGGCCAAAAATGGAAAAAACACACACACACACAAAAAACCCAAAACCTTAGTAAACTAAGTTCAGGAAATAAATTCTTTCTTTCTTTCTTTTTTATTTTATTAAATCATAGCTGTGTATATTAATGCAGTCATGAGGTACAATGTGCTGGTTTTAGTAAGTTTCACATGTACCCTTGTAAGATGCACCGTAGGCGTGGTCCCACCAATTACCTTCCCTCCACCCATTCTCCTCCCTCTCCTCCCCTCCCATCCCCTCCCTTTACCCTCCTTCTCCCCTCCCTTTCCCCATATTCTTGGGCTATAATTGGTTTATAGCTTTGAAAACTATAAATTGTTTCATAGTAGGGCTGAGTACATTGGATACTTTTTCTTCCATTCTTGAGATACTTTGCTAGGAAGAATATTTTCCAGCTCCATCCATGTAAACATGAAAGAAGGAAAGTCTCCATCTTTTTTTAAGGCTAGGCAATAAATTTCTTAGGAGTTAATAATGCTAGAAATAGGTTAAGACTAGGATCTTTTTCTGAAAGTAAGTGGTTTATATTATATGCTAGCCTTTATAGGGTTATTTTCTAAGTATCCTTTAAACCATACCATGCTATAAAATTTTAAATCTCTACTAAGGAATAACTGAGATGCTTGTTTTTCATAGAGGCATTAACTATTCTTTTAGCTCCTACACTCTCAATGCTAAATTCTGTGTTAATTTACATTAGGCCAGATTGACTGGGCTGCTTTGGCACAAGCTTGGATTGCCCAGAGAGAAGCTTCAGGACAGCAAAGCATGGTAGAACAACCACCAGGAATGATGCCAAACGGACAAGATATGTCTACAATGGAATCTGGTCCAAACAATCATGGGAATTTTCAAGGGGATTCAAACTTTAACAGAATGTGGCAGCCAGGTTTGTTGTTGTTTTCCACATTTTAAGACTGCTTTAAAATAAAATGAGGAATGATATTAGAATTTTAACTTTGCTTAGTTTTATGACTTCTTGAAATTAATACTCCTTAAAGAGTAGGCAATTTCAATTTGATTTGACCTTGACAATTTTTGGTTAAAATTATTCTGTACTCAGTCTGCTAGCATTGTGGCACTCAGTTTGATTCTTTTCTTGGTTCTTCATTCCTAGGCTGGCAGGGGCTGGGAACATTCTGGAAACCTCACTTGGCATCTAGGGAAGAGAGCATTCTTTGTCTCTCTGTTGCAACCTCTGGCCTTTTCAGAAGCAGCACTGGCAGAGTAAAACATGTCTAGACTCTAATTATAAGAAAAAGTGTGTCACTATGTGACAAATTAGTCTGTCAAATATACTCTGCCCCTACCATCCACCTACCTTTTTCTTCCCTTTTTTGTTTGTTTGTTTGTTTGTTACTTCACAGTATGATTTAGATTCCTTAATGCTAATTCAGTTTTCCATGACTTGTGTTACTATTTTTAATAGTTAATTCATACTGTTTATGGAGGAATCAGTCACACATTTGGGTATGCTGATGGTGAAGTCATATCCTCCTTTACCTATTAAAATTTATTGTTTCTTACTATAAGAATGGAAAACTTAGGAATTAGTCCCCTGGCATCACTTTTAAAAAGATACATAATTCTAATCTTTGATACTGTGAGGTGGTTCATTTCTAGCTTTTTTGAAAGCCAAATGTCCCCAAGTTTGAAAATGTTTTAGTTCCCAAGTTCAGATTCATAAATGACTTATCCTGGCATCCCTACCTTGCAGTCACCTCTGGCTTTCTTTGTGACCCTGGACAAGTGATTTACCTATGTGTGCCTCAATTTCCCTTCCTGAAATTGGCAAAAATAATACCTGATTTCTCCCTACCTCACAGGGATGTTGTGAGGATAAGTGTTGTTCATGGAAGAAACAAATTATATAAACTCCCAAGGTATTATTTTTGTGGCATTGTACTAAGCAAATCTAGAAAAATTCAACAAAAAATTGCTTGGATTTTGTTAACTTTCATTAAACATAATTTTGAGCATTTGGTTTCCATTTGTTTAGGGTGTGAATTCAAGTGGAATTAGTTCATTGAATTATAAGACAGTTTAGTTCATTGTTTATTTTTAAAATGTACAAAAGGGTTTGACCAAGAAGTCATAGTATATTTATGTTACTTTACTGAAAAATCTAGCTTTCTTGAGATCTTAAAATTTTGTGTTTATTTTGTTATAACCCCATGTTGAATGTTTTTATGCCTGAATCCTAAATAGAATGGGGAATGCATCAGCAACCCCCACACCCCCCTCCAGATCAGCCATGGATGCCACCAACACCAGGCCCAATGGACATTGTTCCTCCTTCTGAAGACAGCAACAGTCAGGACAGTGGGGAATTTGCCCCTGACAACAGGCATATATTTAACCAGAACAATCACAACTTTGGTGGACCACCCGATAATTTTGCAGTGGGGCCAGTGAACCAGTTTGACTATCAGGTGAAAGATATTTTGTTGCTTTAATATTGTAGATGTGCACGTAATCCGTTCTTTGGAAGTATCTCATCAAGAATACCTAAGATATGTGTTTCACTTTTCAGACTTGTACAGATAAGCACATACTATGTCTCAGAAAAGTTATCCATTTTTGAGTATAAAAATCATAAGATTTTTGTTTTCCCATTTTTTATTTGATTAGGAAAATGGTATAAAGGATCATTAGGGGAAAATTTGGATAAAATGAAAAATGTATAAGTGCAATAGCTATATGATGTTTTGTTTTCTAATTCATTATTTCAATATGGTATCTTTAAATGTTAAATAAAAGTTAGAAAATACACAGTAGTTGAATATATTATTTATCAATAGTATTAATAGATTATGAGTAAGACATGAATAAAGCACATAAACATCTTCCTCAGTGCAGTTCCTTCTGCTTTGTAGAGTTGTGACTGTTTTTCTAGTGTTGTCATTTTTTTTTTCCATTCTGACATGACATGTTAATGGAATTGTACATAACTTCCTTTGTAGCATCCAATTCATTCCTAGGGACATAGAACTCTATGGAAAATAGTGTCTTTACGTGGGCCTTTATTTTCTTTATCCCCTTTGCCAAGGTCTACCCTTCAGTTATAGGGCTAGGTGTCATTTTGAAATAACTGATGGTAATCACTACCTCATAACTGTGCTATCATAATTTAAAACTTTGAAAAGATCCACATGTTATTCTATTAATTCTCGGGTAGAGTAGATAAGACATGTAATATCCACCCTAAGACAATAAATTTCTCCTTAATACATACTCAGATTCTTATATACTCATATATAGATATGACAGTTTGCATTCTATTTTTGAATAATTGTAGTGGCAGGGAACTTTTACTTACCCCACTTCTGTTTGCTAGATCCCATGCTAAGAAGACAAAGAATTCTAATGGCAACTGGCCTAAAAAAGGCCCTGAAAATAGCAAAATTGCAAAAAATATTTAATATGGTTATGGCATTGCTTATAAATAATGTCTTACAAGATTATGAAACAACTTACATTCATTATAAGCAGGAAGTTGAAATTGAGAAAGAAAAATTCCAGGATTTTTTAAGTTAAGGAAAAGTTAACATTTATTTGTTGTCTTAATACTGATAATATTAGTTTATAAATGGATTCAGAATCCAAAAGTTATTATATATCTTGCTCTATACTTCTTGAAAATAGTTTACCAGCTGACTATTAGAAGGCTGTTTGCATTGACATAAGTGGAAAATCTTTCTTAAGAAAGCCTAGGTTCTTGGGGCTACAGAAGTATCGGTGGATATTAGAACCATGGAATTCTTGGATTTGCTGCACACATGGATTTCTACTGTCCCAGTTCATAACACGCGTGTGTCCCAGAGAGTGTATTGTTTTAATGTGAAGAAAAATAAACTGCAATACTCTTTCAGCATGGGGCTGCTTTTGGTCCACCGCAAGGTGGATTTCATCCTCCTTATTGGCAACCAGGACCTCCAGGACCTCCAGCACCTCCCCAGAATCGAAGAGAAAGGCCATCATCATTCAGGGATCGGCAGCGTTCACCTATTGCACTTCCTGTGAAGCAAGAGCCTCCACAAATTGGTAGCTATTAAACTAAGTTCAGTAAACCATAATTGGCATGACTTACTTATATAAAAATGATGTCTTGTTTTATTTTTTCATTTTCATTTTTTTTTATTTTTAAATATTTTTTGTAGAGATGGGTTCTCACTATGTTATGCAGGCTGGTCCCAAACTCTTGGCTTCAAGAGATCCTCCCACCTCAGCTTCCCAAAGTGTTGGGATTACAGGCATGAGCCACCATGCCTGGCCATTGTTTTCTTAAATTGTTCTTTTGTTTGTTTTTTGTAGAGACAGAGTCTCACTTTATTACCCTCAGTAGAGTGCCATGGCGTCACACAGCTCACAGCAACCTCCAACTCCTGTGCTTAGGTGATTCTCTTAACTCAGCCTCTGGAGTAGCTAGGACTATAGGCACCCCACCACAATGCCCAGCTATTTTTTTGTTGCAGTTTGGCCAGGACTGGGTTTGAACCCGCCACCCTTGGTATGGGCCAGCACCCTACCCACTGAGCCACAGGTGCCGCCCCCTTAAATTGTTCTAATATTTTCAATATGTTAGGAATCAGTACTTTAAAAACCCTGTTATTTAGCTGCAGTGGCTCACTCCTGTAATCCAGCACATGGGAGGCCAAGGCAAGTGGATTCCCTGAGCTCACAAGTTTGAGACCAGCCTGAGCCAGAGTGAGACCCTCATCTCTAAAAAACTGTGACGGGCACCTATTGTCCCAGCTACTTGGGAGGCTGAGACAAGAGGATCACGTGAACCCAAGAGTTTGAGGTTGCTGTGAGCTAAGACGCAACAGCACCCTACCAAATGTGACCAATTAAAAGACTATCTCAAAAATTAAATAAATAAAACCCTGTTATTTTATAGTCACAAAGTTAAACTTAAAAAAAAAATACTGG